TTATTATTATTATTATTATCCTCACCACCTTCTACAGAAGCACCATAGAGAGCGTTCTGACCAGCTGTCTCACTGTGTGGTGTGGAGGCTGCAGCGCCTCAGACTGGAAGAAACTAGGAGAGTGGTGAGAACAGCAGAGAGGATCATGGGGGCTCCTCTTCCCTCCATAAAAGAAATTTCATCCTGAGCCCGTAACATCATCAATGACCCCTCACACCCCCACCATGGACTGTTCTCCCTGCTGCCCTTTGGAAAGAGACTTTGGATGCAGTTCCAGCAGATTCTGCAACAGCTTCCCCGTTACCATCACACAGCAGCAGGGAACTGTTGAAAAAAAAACTCTAAATCAAGTCAAAGTCTCTGCATCAAACTGATAACACCAAACCAAAATACTGAATATATGCACCATATATATTTGTCTTGAAATGCTTTTTACATCCATATCAATGCGTTTTTTTGTTGTGTTTTTTTTTTATTTTTTGTGGGGAACACTACATTTGGTCCCTGCTATACTTTATGAAATGAAAATGTTAATTTTACTGTTAAGCTGCTGCTCATTCACTGTCTGAAAGCTGAACAAAACAAAATTTCAATCAAAGACAATAAAAGTTGTCTGAGTCAAAGGAAGGCTGCCAGTTGAAACAATAGAAAGGATTATAAAAATCCTTCAAGGAAAAAGATGGTAAATAATGGAGCAAATGCAAACACAAAAGGAAGTTGCCAAGGGAACACATACAGGCCAGAAAACTTATCAAATCACAAGAACATAAAATGAAAACAAAAGATCCTAAAAACACAAAATGCACAAGAAAAGGGATGAAAGAAAAACAAGCAAAAATCAGTTTGAGTGACTGAACTAGAACAAAACTGTTGAAGATGAAAATCGGCTGGCCATGGTGGGACCAGCATTTTTTTCAAGAGGGCACAGAACACAACACACAGAAAATTGAAAAAGAGCGCAACGATTTAACAGATGAAAACTGCCATCCTTAATGTTATCTCTAAATAATTGTCAAAGTAAATTTTAAAATTAAACCATTGAATTGGTCCAAGGGATGAATCAGCTGCATATGTCATTATGAAATATTGATTTAGCAATAAACCACAAACACTGATCTAAAAACATTTTTAAAAATATGTTTAATTGCTGTTAATCTGAGCCGGTAATTATAATGATCTGCCAAAGGAATGGGTAATTTTAGTCTTACAAATAAAATTATTTGATTTTAGATAGTGTTGCACTGATGCAATTGTTTTGGCCCAGATACCGCTACCTGGCTGTGCAGTATTGGCCGATACCGATACCATACTGATACCATCTGTTTGAAACTGATGTGTGTGTGTGTAAATATGAAGGACTGCATACTACTTGGAGGTAAAATAATTGCCATCATGGCTTTGTGAAGCAGGAAAAAGACTAATACAAAGTGAATCCAGTTGAACTTTTTATTGCCTACCTGGAATGGGTGACAATAGTTGAATAAACTTTTGGCTCTCAAAATAGTATTGGTGCCCTGTTTGTTGGTACTCGCCGATACCGATACCACCATTTTAATGCTGGATCGGGGCCCCGCCTGATACTGGTATTGGGATCAATGCAACACTAATTTTAGACACTTGAAATCAGTTTTTTTATTTAAAGCATAAAACATGTTATTTGATTGAAAACCTAACTTACATGCTCAAATCAACAGTTATTTGGTAAAAAAAGGTATGTTTTAATTTTTGCTGTGTATGTTTTTGCCCGTCCAGAACCGTCCATGCAGGTTTCCATTCTTCGTCTTCATCTTTTCTCCTTTTTTTCTTTTTCCTTTCCTGTTCGACTTACATTACAAGGTCCATATAATCTGTAAAACTCCCTACATAAATTATAATAAAGCTATTTATATGCATAAATTAAACGGAACACTATGGGAATAGCCGCACTGCTCCTCTTCTGAAAGCAAAATCTGTTGGGCTCTTTTTGGAATCAAGACAGTTATTCTATTCTTATTACTACATTATCTGAAAGGAAAAAAAATGATTCAATTTTTCATTTTACCAGATGTTTCAAATCCTTTTGTTTATTTCTGTATTGATTTTGCAGCTTTTGCTGAGCTAAATCCTGGTTATTCACCAATATAGTGGTTTTGTTTGAGCTAAAATTCAAATTTTCCATGTTTCTTATCATTAAAGACTCAGTTCAATTTATTAGTTATTATGGTGAGTAGTTTATTGTCTGTTTTTGAATATTTTTTCCCTTTCATTTTGATACCAGG